GACTACAGTGGACTAAAGCAGTGGTCCAGCTGGAAGCTAGCAGACCGGCCAGAGAAATGTATGAAACCTGACAACTGAACGATGTCTACTTTGCCTGTCTGCTTGCCACTGGTCATTTAGCTTGGCAGCAGTTATTGCCATCTTCGTGTGGCTTTATTAAGGGGAGGTCACAGGACTGGTGCCTTCACACTGTTAAGATCTGCTCACCCTCCTGGACTTACCTGCATCAGTTAACTCAGTGATTATTCTTTGGTTGCAAAGATAACCACTATCCACAACTTTAGTTTTGCCCTTTCTACAGAAATCCAAGGTTGTGATCCCTAAGTGCAGTGCAGACTCATGGTTTTTAGTAGTCTGTATTTTATATTGTGGTAGAAGTGCAGGTTTTTCCACTGTTATTTGTTCATTACTTTGGATTTCATTTTCATAGTAATTTAGTATGCCTGAAAGAATAGCCCCCCTTTTTTAAAAAAAAATACTTGCCAGATATATGACTGCTGCACAACTAAAAGCTTGTTGTCATGCCTTGATTTTATCCACATGGAAAATTTGCCTGCTTTTGCATAAGCATTCAGATTGGGGTTTATATTCAAGTCTTAGGTAGCTGGTCTGAACATAAGCAATTACACTGAGACACACCAAGTGGCTGCATGTGTATTTGTTCTTTCTCTTGAAAGTTTTTGCATATTTCCTAAAAAAAAAGAGAAAGTATTCTACAAGTTTTCTTTAAAATTAGTTGTTTGGAATACATGTCAGTCTTGTTTGAGGGGCAGTCTCTGTATTTTAACTTCTGAGTCTTGCATCTCATAAGCTAATCTCAAATTGCTCTTGAAGAATGTGAGAACGCTCTTTATTACAGCTCTGCAAAGTCTTTGTAGAAATGGCAAGTGTGTATTCATCTCCTGAAAGCTTGTGAAGAATTTGCTGTAGCTTATGATAGAGCTTCTCAGCCTTCAGGAATGTAAACTAGATTCAGTGACATTAAAGAAAAATGTTCAAAAGGAATCGGCACGTGAACAGAATTGGGTTTTTAATATCTTTTTTAACTTGTGCAATTGGACTATTTTACTTCACCGAGTAAAATGATTAGATGGTTTTTTTTAAAAACTATATAAAATAGATTAAAACATCTTTTTTAAAAACTATTTTGCAGTGGATATTGCTTTGAATGCAGTGCCTTCATGTACTTTGCTCCACTGCTGTTCTTCCTGAGGTTTGGCTGTAGGCTCAGAGCTGTGTTTTAGCAGCAGAAACCCTTACTGCTCAGTCCCTCGCCTCATTATTTCAGTCTGCCTGGTCTGTACAGCAGGTTTTTGCTGGATATCAGTCTTTAAAGAATTTTTTGTAATTTCTGCCTTTGTGGCTTTGTCTTTTGCTGTGTTGTCATAGACATAGACTTGATGTCTCCTGGTCTCATCACGTCCTATGAAAAGGATGTATCCAATCAAGGGAGGGTGTGTTGGATGAAACAACTTGCTGGCTGAGATTAATGCTCGAAGTGCAAGATCAGCACTCATGTTAGCCCTGGAGGAAGTAGCATATAGTTTGTTTTGTCTGCTGTGTTTATCAGTGGTGGGACAGAGGTTTGACGATTAAGAAATTTCTTAAGATGATAAGTGCTTAAAACTCATCACATATTCTGGCAATCTGAAAAGTAATAGGAAGGGAAGGGGGAGAACTTTACACTAATTGCGTCACTTGCAGCTTTTAGAGGATGATTTAGTAGGTAGAATTAATGCTTTTGAATAGTTGGGATTGTTGGCTTCTGACGTCTTCAGTTCAGGCACTTCTGAAGTTGATTCTGGTATTGTGCACTGACTTCTTCATCGCTGGTTTGGGGAAGGGGCTATCCTAGGAGAAAGTAGGGGGAATAATCTCCTAGCCTGTTAGTTTTGTGTTTGTAAAACATCTGCTCGAGTCCTGAGCCCGCCTAACAAAATCTGGTTGCCAGCAGGAAAGCATGCAACTGTTTGAAGGAGTAGGTCTTACTGATAGAGAGTGGAGGGCTTCTTCGTTAGTGGGTTTCCTCCAGGGACAGTCTGTAACCACAGATTCTGTCTAATGTGTTCTCTTTTTAAAGGAAGGAAATTCCAGGCGATGTTTGTATTTTCTGTGTATTTATACTGGTAAGTATATTAATATTATACCACTTGAATTAGTTTTTGAACAGGCCTTTTGTAATTTGGGGTAGTCAGAAGAGAGGTTTCAGCCTTTTAAACTTACAGACCTTCCAGAGTAAGCAAAGATCATTGAGACACAGAGATACAGATTATGACAGCAGTCAGCAGAAGTACGTACTGAATGATGAGAAATTCCAAGAAGGGAATTTAAATGTTGGAGGCAATCAGCTGTTTTGGCCAATGACTAAAACTCGAGTGACTTTCAGCAAATAGGTTGTGTTTGTTATGGATTTTCAATCTTACTGATGTTAAATGGGGAAAAAAAACCACTCTTTGTAGAACATTTTTTTTTTTTTTGTATAATCATTATCCCAAATGTAAAGAGGTTCTCTGTCCTTTCTTGAATGTGGGATTTGAACAACTTTTAGTAATGGTTAAAAGAATATGGCAAACATATCACCTATGGTTTCACCTTTCAGGTATTTCCTTGAGGGAGCATGTTTGCAGTACATGGTTTTGCTGCGCAGGGATTTCAATAGGTGTATGCACTACTGTGTGAGTGTTGGAGAAGGAGATTGGAGAACTCATAGAATGGTTTAGATTGGAAGGGACCTTAAAGATCATTGAGTTCCAAACCCCCTGCCTCCCACTTCCAACACCTCCCACTAGACCAGGTTGCTCAAAGCCGTGTCCAGCCTGGCCTTGAGCACTTCCAGGGATGGAGCCTCCACAACTTCTCTGGGCAACCTGTCCCAATGTCTCACCACCCTCAGAGTGAAAAATTTCTTTCTAATATTTAGTATAAATCTACATTCTTCCAGTTTAGAGCCATTCCCCCTCATCCTATCACTACGTGCCTTTGTAAAAAGACATTCCCCAGCAATCCTGTAGGCCCCCTTTAGGTACTGGAAGGCCGCAATAAGGTCTTCCCGGAGCCTTCTCTTCTCCAGGCTGAACAACCTCAACTCTCTCAGCCTTTCCTCATAGGAGAGGTGCTCCAACCCTTGCACTTGGGTTGAGGTCTCTGCTGGGGCTGCTGACTGGATTACCTTCAGGAATCCAACCCGTTGCCTCACGTTTGTTCCTGAGGGTACTTCATCTCCTCTACAGATTAACTTCCTCCTGCTTATAAAAAGGTCTGCTGAGGTGGGAGCTTCAGCTGTAGGCTTTTCCTGGTCTCCAAGAAAGCCTTTTAGGCAAATGCTTGACATAGTTTTGATACAGTGATATGAAGAGCATGAGTCCAATACCTCTTGGCAGCTGGGCTGAAGCATATGTCTGAGCAGTAATGCCCAAAGCAAAGTAACAACTATGGTGAGCATGGTGAGAGAGGAGGATTTGTGCACTGATTTCTTGCAAGAGAAGGAAACTTTCTCTAAAGGTTGGGTCTGAGGTTTTTGTGCTTTTCACTAGGCATCTATGGAAATAAAAATGCACAGCAAAATTGTGGGTGTAGTAACTTTAACCAGAAGAGGCTGAATTGCAGCTACAAATCTTTGGATTGCTTCCCTCTTCCCACTCTCCTGGTTGAATCTGTTACATGGAACACTCAGGGTGTGGGTTTTAACATCCCCAGCATTTGCTGAATCTGCTAGGCATCTTTGCAGCCTGCAGAATCAGCCGCAGCGGCTGGACCACCGAAGCCTGCCAGCTCGTGAAGGCCATTACTCCATGGTTGCTCCACCATCCTACATGCAACAAGGGGTGCCTTCGGGCACGCCTGCCCTGTGCAGCGTGGCACGCTGTGAGGCCAGTGAGACAAGTGGCGTGATAGGCAAGGTTAATTAGCCTCGGTACAGTACAGCCTTAAATATGTCAGTTATCTCGGGGTTTGGAAGGTGAATAATACCCCTGTGAGGTGGTGCCTGCTCTGTGGCTTCCTGGCACGGGGCTGCTCAGAGTGGGCTGGGGACACCTAAAGTCACCTTGCGCAGAGCAATGTAGACATGTCCTGGTTCCGTTGCTCCCAGAGCCAGGTCAGTACAGCTTGTTAGGTCGTGCTGCAGTCTGTCTCAATTTAGGGGAGCGACCAGACATGTGCTTAGCAGCAACTCTGCGCTCACTTCTAAGCCTGGCTTTAGGTCTCTAATGGCAGACATCCTTTTAAAAACCCAAGCTGTGTTTTCTTAAACATTTTATCCTTTAAAGCATGGCACGTGCATTTTATGTCACTTGAGCTTGCTTCCTTTCTGCTTGCTTGGATTTTTTGTGCCTTTTTTTTCCATCGTGCTTGCTAGTCAGAGAAAGAATTTAAATTTTCCATGTGTGTGTGTGTATGTATGCCCACTTTTGCTTTTATGCTTCTCTCGCGCAGTCTTTTGCTGTGGGTGCGCAGAACTTAGTCAGCAAAGAAAGCGAACAGAGAGCAGACCCATCGCCCCCCGCCCCTTGAAAGAGCAGAGGGCATGTGGAATAAATCAAAACGCGAAGCATAATAACGAGGTCCCATGGGAAAGGGACCCTTGCGATTGTGTGCCGGCGGGCACTCCCCTTGGAGACGGCGGCCGGGGGGCTCCTTTCTTTCTCGGCTCGC